CGCGGCCGGCGCTGTCCGCGGTGCTGATGCCTGCCGAGGCGGGCGGCGGGTCGGGCAGGGCCGGTAACGGGCTGCGGGTCTGTGTGTGCCTGCGTGGGGCCCCTGCGGGTCTGTGTGTGCCTGCGTGGGGTCCCTGCGCTCGTTTCCAGGTCCCAGTTCGCGCTGAAGTTCCTGGACCCTTCCTTCGTCCCCATCACGAACTCCCTGACCCAGGAGCTGCAGGAGAAGCCCTCCAAGTGGGCCTTCAACCGGACCGCGTTCGCTCATCAGAGGTGAGCCTGCGGCCCCGCGGCCCCTTCCCACCGGCCCTGGGGTTGTCCCCTTCCCCCCAGGATTTAAGGAAACACAATCAGGGATGGCTAAATACTCTGAGTGCTGAGTAATTTGCCGGCGGTGAGGGACAAAGGCTGTATCGGAGCGTTTCCCCGGATGGTCACAGCTATCTCGGAAGAATTGATTATTTCAGAGCAGGACACGAGGCTGCAATGCGCATTATTTCACCAAACAGAACGTGACCCAGTTTCCCGGGGTGCAAGTGAAATTGTCATTGCTTCAAGATAAATGGCTGGGGTTTTAAAACTTGAAACAAATCGGGCTGTAACAGCCATGAAATGCCGTGTTTATGGAGGCCAAAACATGCCCAGTGAAACTTCCCAGCTAACGGCAGCTCTGAGCAAGTGCAGTGCTGCTCTGCCTTCCAGCACTGCTCCGGCCGAGGGGGCGGGCAGAGCGAGGGGTTCCGATGGGGCCCTTCCAGCCCGGATCCACTGGAGACACCCTTAGAGACACCCACCTCGCGCACCGCCTTCTGCCTGCAGGTTGCACTGACTTTCCTGCTGTATGGCAATGGAAAGGGTTTCTCGGTTCCTTCAGCTTCCCCAGAGCTGGTCTGTACTTAATGGGAAGTTAAATGCGCTTTCAGTTTCCTCACTGTGATGTGAAATTGGTGGTGTCTCGCCAGCCTCTTTTATTTATTGGCTTTACTGATATATATATGTGTGTGTGTGTATATATATATATATATATATATCAGTAAATATATACTTTACACACTTTATATATATATTTACTTTTTTATATATATATATATATAAAAATAAAAATTTTCCATAAAAGAAAATAAAAACATTTAGCCATTTAAGATAGCTACTACCATCTTGGACTGTAATTTTGTCCTGACAAATGCCTGCTGTTTTAGAGACCACCTTGTGACTCAGCTCACATATCGCACCTGAGAAACAGGAACCCAGGCCCCTTGGCCCTGCGGCCGGCAGAGTCAGGATGGGGCTGCTGCACCCCTCGGGGCTAGCGGGCAGGGCTTGGCCTTCTCTCCTCCCTCGTGGTCACTCCTCAGCACAGCAGGATGAGTAATGCCCTTCTAGTGCCGACAAGTGCTGCCCACTGCCCCTAAGGAGCCGTGGACCACAGAGAGGAGACGGCACATTGCCTGCCCCATCCTTTCCCCGGGACCTCCCAGGCTGGTGTGACAGTGGCCACCCCTTGGTTTTGCCTCATTCCTGGCACCACCAGCTCATCCTTCATAAGTCTATCTCTGTGCCACCCCTCTGATGATTTTAGCTGATGCCACAGGATCTGCCTTTGCACTTGTCCGTTAGCCATAACCCATAATTAGGGCACCCAGTGGGACTCCATTAATGCTTAGACATTCAAGGATGCAAGCTGGAAGAAAGATTGTTTTCCATAAACATGAGCAAATAAAGTGGTATTGGTTTTCTAATTTTATGCCCTGCTAGGGAAATTCCTGAGCAGGGTTGGGTTTGTTTGTTTTTTAAGTATCCCTAATAACCCTTGTAAAAATGCCAGTGTGCTTGCCCAAATAAGACATTAAGGAATTATATTTACATAAATGGAGACAGCGATTGTCACTTGTTTTTGTGATTCAACGCTTCTTAATGAGAACACAAAAAAGTACATGTATTTAAAAATTAGCTCCTGTTAATTCAACTGAATATCCTGGACCACTTGGTTTTGCTTCACGTACCTCGTGGCAAACATGGTACCCATCGTTACCAAAGATCTGCGGCCCAGTTCCAAGAGCGAAATGCATGCAGAGAGTGCCAGCAGAAAACCCACCCACCAGGCCTGTATAGCAGCACAAGCAGAACCGTGTTGTGCAGCACCCCGCAGCGAGGTGGCAGGGGGGTGGGGGTACTGTTAGCGGCACGCCTCAGACTTAACACAGTGAATCCAGTGTTTTAGTCCTGACACCATTCAAAGAGACACAGATACGTCCTTAGCTGGCGTCAGTCAGGACCGCCCAGTAAAGCCAAGCAGAGCTCTAGGTGAGGAGCCAGCTCCATAATTCCTATCTGTTTATGTTAATTGAAAAGTCATTGCACCACATTGCTCAGAAAACTACTATAATAAAAAAAGAAAAATTTAAGTCTAGCTGGAAAGAAAATCTCTTCACTGCAGAAAGAGGGGAAATACAATTCCATGTTTTCTTTTCTTTTTCTGTTTTATTTTAGGCAAGAAATCCTTCAGCATGTCGACGTAATAAAAAATTTTTCTTTGACCAAGAATAGCGTTCGGATTGGACAGCTGATGCATTATGATTATTCCAGCCATAAGTATGTTTTCTCTATCAGCAATAACTTCAGATCACTGCTTCCTGACGTGTCGCCGATCCTGAACAAGCATTACAACATTTGTGCCGTGGTTGGAAATAGTGGGATCCTGACCGGGAGTCAGTGCGGGCAAGAAATAGATAAATCTGATTTTGTTTTTCGTTGCAATTTTGCTCCAACTGAGGCTTTCCAAAAAGATGTCGGAAGGAAAACCAATCTTACGACCTTCAACCCCAGCATCCTGGAAAAGTATTACAACAATCTTTTGACCATTCAGGATCGCAACAACTTCTTTTTGAGTTTGAAAAAGCTTGATGGGGCCATTCTCTGGATCCCCGCTTTTTTCTTCCACACGTCAGCAACGGTCACAAGAACACTGGTTGACTTCTTTGTTGAGCATAGAGGGCAACTAAAGGTCCAGTTGGCTTGGCCAGGAAATATAATGCAGCATGTTAACAGGTGTGTGTTTCTGCCTTGCATTTAATGTATCAAAATACATATCTCTCTCTCTGTACAAATACAACTCTCTTTGTTTTCCTATTCGTGCCTGATCTGGTAGGCACTCTCTAGCAAGCCAGGACCCAATACCACTTGTTTTAAGAGCAAATGCAGTTTTGTTATTGCTTTAGGGAGTACTGCAGTTATTTCTGTACAGATGTATACCTGGCACAGCAGAGGTGGGTTGGTTGTTTGCACCGGGGCACGGTCCATCAGTGGGCTCTGCTCCCGCCGCTGCTCCCGCAGAGCCAGGAGGAGCACGGGGAGCCGAGTGAGATCCTGCGTAAGCAAAGCACCGCTTATGGAAGAGCTTGCTCTTCTCAGCTAGCGAAGAGGGATGCTAACAGACAGCTGCAGGGTGGTCCAAGGAAAACTGTAGTAAATCAAAGGAGGATAACGTTGCTACCTCTTTAACAAATGCACGTGTGAGCAGGAGCCAGGGAATTGTACTTTTCTGGATAAGGCACTACCTCTCCTGGTTAAAAAACAAAAACATTCAGAAGGAGACCACAAGAGACTATCGGTCAGGGTGCTGCTGAGGTTGTTCTGCATTCCCGGTCATTACAGACTGACCTGAAGAGCGGTCTTTGCTTTCTCCAGGCTATCAGCTGGCAGCACCGATGTTCTCCAGGCGGTAACTTTTTTTTCTTACAGCAAGCCTGTGGCATTACTTGCACCCCAGACTAACACGCCTTTATTTTTTTCACAGATACTGGAAGAACAAACACTTGTCACCCAAGCGGCTGAGCACAGGTATTCTCATGTATACCCTTGCTTCTGCCATATGTGAAGAGATCCACTTGTACGGATTCTGGCCCTTTGGGTTCGACCCCAACACGAGGGAGGACCTCCCATACCACTACTATGATAAGAAGGGAACAAAGTTCACCACCAAGTGGCAGGAGTCCCACCAGCTGCCTGCAGAGTTCCAGCTGCTCTACAGGATGCACGGTGAAGGACTGGCCAAACTCACCTTGTCGCATTGTGCCTAAGAACCTAAATCATGAAGTGCCAAATGATTGTCTAAAAAGTGCCCAAAACCGAATTAAACATTCTTCAGATATAATTCTAAAAAAAAAAAAAACCCACCCTAAAATATTTTCCATAATATAAAGATGCTTTTTAGTCACCCTCATCAAAGGGTTTAAGCATATTTAGCAGTGCAGAAGCATTTATCAAATTCTGTGGATGCTGTTCATGCAGCAGCAAATTTGAAATATTTTGCATTTATAGATATGCCGCTAAGTATGTTTTAAGATATTTTCGTATTTTAGCATTCCACTAAATGCCCTAAATCTCTTAATTTTATTGTTCCTTCCCGATTAGAACTAGAAATGCTAATTTTAAAAGGTTTTGCTTCTTTTGTATATGTTGCTATCAATAGCTGAGCGTACATATATTGCCGTGGCCGATCGAGAAAGCCACTCTGAATTCCAGTTCATCGTCACTTGCAAGTTCTTCAGTGTGGATCCTGATTTCCACCGCTTGCATATTTTCATATTTACTGAATTTTACATTTTTTAAAGAATAATGTGAAGAAGGAGGTCACAATATGGCTCATACCTTAGCTAGGCATTTATATCGCTCTCAGAAAACTTCAGCGTTTTAATTCAATTCGGGCCAAATCCTGGTCCAAATTAGACAGGCTGAAACATGGTCATTCCCATCCGTGTGATACTATTTGATTTTAAAGTGAAAGCACCACAATAAAGAGCATTAGGCTTCTCTGGAGATGTGTTGGGTGAGAAGAGCCCCAAAGCCCGGCGCAGGCACCCTTCCCCCTGTGCCTGCTCTCCGCACCCTCCGACGACGGGGGGGTCCTTTGGGAGGACGATCCCCCCGAGTGGGGAGCACGGGGGCTCCTGCCCGTCCCTTTGCACCCGCCGAGACCACCGGCGCTCCCCGTTTTCCCCTCTCCCTGTGTGCACGGTCCCGCCGCGGGCTGCACCCCACGGCGCTGTGGGGCACGGAGCCGGCCAGGCGCCGCGGCCGCCCCGGTGAGCTCTGCCAGGTGGGACCCCATGTTTCCCCTCGCATATTGCCCAGCGATGCCGGGTCTGTGGGGAGTGGTCATAGCCCTCTTCATTAGCCCAATTGATGGCGACGGGGCAGACAGGCAAGCGGGGCTGGCTGGGCAGGGACCGACTGGCCGGGTGGTAACGGCAGCCTGGGCGCCGGGATTTTTAGAAATGGTTTTTAAAGGGAAGTGAGCTCGGCAGGAGCGCAGGGAAGAGGAACTACAGTTACCAGATTTCCCCGTTTACATCTCTAAATCCATGGTCAGACAGGTGAATTAGTGGCCTCATTTTCCGCTCACCAACAGCCACCCAAGGCAGCCAAAGGAAGACATGGCTTCCTCAGTACTGCTGAAAATCAGGCTGTTTGTGGAGAGGACAAACCTTAGGGTCACTTAGGATTTGAAAATGTTGGCCATTATGTCTCAGGATAAAGGAGCCTGTAAAATAAGTGGGTTTCTTAGTACAACAAGTATACTTACAAGTATTTTAACATTTTTCTACTGTTCTGTATGACACTGGAAACTGACTATACACTGAAAGAAGATGCAAAATCCAATTTAAAACCATACTTTAAAATGGCACATTTTAATTTTTCTCAGCCTCTTTACCTACAAGCAGACGTAGGAGGTGAGGAAGGAGATCTCGAGTACAGCACCAAACCTGAGCAGCCCGGAGCATCTCCCGGTGCCCGCCGCTGCCCCGCTATGGCACCGCAGCTCCCCTGGCCCCCGAAGCTGGGTCCCCCCTCTCCCCCACGCCCCGGGTAGAGAAGGAGCTGGCGGCTTTCTTCACCATTTTCATTATCCCACATTTTCTGGCTTTTGCTTTTTCAAAGGCTGTTCAGGGCTGGGGCATGCTGCGGGGGGGCTTGGGTCTCCCCCGTGCCGCAGCGTGCACAGATCTGCTCCCGCAGGGAACCGCGGCGCTTCCCTCCCCAGCTGCCAAACCTGGCTCAGCGTTCCTGGCGGCTCCGGCTCCCCGTGCTGTCGTGTCGGTCCTGCGCTCATCACCGTTCCTACAGCAGAGTACGACCTCTAGCAACTGTTATTATGAAGACATAGTTGTGCAGTGGTGGTGGTGTCTTATGCCGTATGGTGCCATACGAGTCGTTCTTGATATTATCACATATTATTTGTGTCGTAGTCACGCGCGAGGGTCCTGGCCAGGGAGCGGGGTTTGGCTGTGCTGGGCGCAGACCCCTGCAGAAGGGGGAAGGACCGAGTGCCCCCGACCCCCGTGGGCCCTGTCGGTGAGGGTTGCAGGATCGCATCCTCTGGATGCCTGGATCACGTGTCCGAGCGGGTAGCGGGGACCTGTGGGGCCGGGAGTGGCCAGGCAGCACCAGTCCTGACAGAGTCCTGCAGGAACCCTTCTCTAAGTACTGGAGCACACAGATTGGTTTTGCCCAAAAACAGAAAAAGAGAAGTTGCGCAGGAAAGGAAGAGTTCTGAACTAGTTGTTAATGAAGTACAGTAACGAATCATTTCCGATATCATTTCCTACTGAGCTGTACAGCAGACTCACATTCGCTAAGGCAGGCGCATCACTTTGCAGGTCACCGAGGCGCATGGTGAAGGTGTGCTCAGCGGCCAGTAGCCAGCTGGGCAAAGAGCCCACTGGGGGACAAGGGCCACCCTGAACCCTGAGTCACGCCTGTTGGCTTGTGGTTGGTGCCAGATATTTTAATTAAGAGGCATTTTATCAATTTCATGTAGGGAGCCATCATTTTTAATTAGCAAATTAAAGAAATGTGAACTATTATTATTCTGTTGGCATGAAAGCAGAGGCCAGTGTGCTCTATACAGTTTTCGGCTGCTGGCTCCCAACGGGAAATTGCACTGGCAGATCCTGCTTGGCTGCTGCACGGCGTTTACAGGACATAACTACTTTAAATTAGATGTAGTCGCAAGTAAACATTCATTAGCCTGAACATAACGTATTTCCATCCGTGCATCTCCAGGAGGCCCTTTTTGCAATGGGGATGCTCAGCCTGGGGCGAGATGGTTCATGCACATCTCCCCCGGCAGCTCTGCTCACCTCCTCCCCTGACGGCAGCGGGACCGCTGGCAGGGCACGGATGCTGGCGAGAGCATGGGACATTAGCACATCCAGTGCAGAAACAGATGCACGTGCCATGTAACTGCATAGTGAAACCGGGATGGGAAGGTCTTCAGAGTCAAACTGGCTGCGGGTGCACTGTGAGATGCTGGGAAGCCGTATGGGATGGGCTACTTGCTCAGACCCAACCCTGTCCCCAGCATCCCCAGAGAGGGCTGGTGGCAGAAGTGGGTTTCCCTGTACTGAAGGCGCTGCAAGGGCTTGCGTGGCTGCCGCACCTGAGCGGCAAAGCATGTGTGGAGCTGGTTCGGACAGAGCTGCAGTGTCCTCCCTCTCCCCGAGAGCCCGTGCGGGAGGAGAAGGTGTCGGTTCTGGCATGCCCGAGGGCCTCGGTTGGTCATTCCTGAGCAGTGCCCATCTTCTCTCCTGCTTTAGAGCACCCGGGAGAGAAGACAAAATGTAAAAATTAGACGTTGAAACCAAAAACCTAAATTGCGCCGAGGTAGTTTTTTTCATTTTTTTCATTTTTCGTAATTTATATTTTTAAATTTGATTTTCCTTCTTAATCACAGTAAACTTGGGAAAACTGCCCACAGCTGGAATTTCTGTTCTCCCCACAACTTGCACCCCCGGCTGTGCTCGGGAGGTCTGCGATGCCCTGCTCACCCCCAGCCCGCAGAGCACCAGGGATGCAGCGCCACACGTGCCTCCAGATTGTGGAGAGGATGGTGATGGAAAGGTGTTTTAATGCACAGTACCTTAATTTGATCTTGCTTTATTTAAGCAAAGAGTCTCAGGTTCATCCCACTTGCAGTGGGGTCCCATTATGACTGAAGGCAGCAGATCCTGCTGGGGGGGTCTCTGGGGGGGGACCCCTGGCTCTCTGCAGCCCCCTCCCACCCACACAGAGGGACGGGACCCCCCGTCGGTCCTGGGGGACGGCCCTGGCAGCACAGCTGGAACTTTCCAGAGGCACAAAGAGGCACCAACTGCAGAGAAGGAAGCATGAAAACAACTGCAAATATTCGGAAATGGGAATACAGAAAAATTATTGACAGACCGCCATATTATATCATTGATTTTTAAGCAAAACTCCCCATCGATTTTTCAGAACCACATTGAACATTTCAGAATCATTGATTTTAATGGGGAGTTCTGCCCCAAAATCAATGGCACAATACAGCCCAAAGTAAATTGCTTCTTAGTATCAATATTTTTTGTCCAAGCTCTTGCAATATGGAAAACCGTCTCAAAATGTGCATCTTTTGTTTTTGCCTGTTTTCTTAGATGCTCTTTGAATTCTGCTTTTATAGCAAGACCAGAGGGGAAGGGCAGCTTGTGCCCACTGGTGAGACCAGCAGCGGCCCAGGGTGGGCTCTGCTCCCCCAGGCAGGGAAAGACCCTGGTGATACCTTGCAGTCAGACTGGGCTCTTTCCCAAACCCCAATTTTCAGGGTCACTGTGCATCCCAGAGCGGCAAAGTAGGGTGACACACACACACCCCCCCCCAGTGTTTGTACTGACAGGTCTGGGCTTGGCGTCCTTTTCTCACTGTGCCAGACTTATGGCACACATAATTCTGGTTTTGTAGAAAATGAGGTCTCCCTTTTTGCTGGTGGAAGTCAGTGCTGGGTGGCGGGGAGGAGCCCTCGGCGCTGGTTGGCGTCCCTCAGCTCCGAGGTGCCCTCGGAGAAGGTCCAGGCTTGGCCGCTCGTGGTGGGCTGCTGGACTGCGGGAGGAAGGTGATAGATTGGGGGGGGGGGTCTGACAGAGAGGCGAGGACTGGAGGGTGCTGAGAAGACAGCAGCTGAGGAGGACAGGCTCCCTGGATCTGCCTCTTTCCAGCAGAAAACGCTTTTCCATTAAATAAGCAAGCGGCTCCCAACGGCGCATGCAGCTCCCCGGGGCAGGGAGATGCCAGCTCCCACCCTCCTGCTCAGGACAGTAAATGGCACCTGGATTCCGTGTCACCTTGGCTAGACTCTTCCTTCCCTTCTGTTCGGCCCAA